GTGATTTTTCTCTGGTGGTATGTTTTGATTTTTATTATTATCATCATTATTTTTCATGTATCTGTTGTATGTTTTTTTATTTGAGTTTACCATGAGGCTTGCAAATAGCTTATAACGCAATATTGTAAACTGAAGATAACACCAATTACCTAAACAAACTAACACGCAAAGAGAAAACTAATAAAAACTTTACACTTCAACTGTATTCCCCTGGTTTTTAACTTTTTGTTGTTTCTGTTTATTTTACTACACTGTCTATGTCTTGTAGCTGTAGTTATTATTTTTTGTTGGTTCATGTTTTAGTTTATACACCACAATTACAGTGTCATAATATTCTATTTTTCTTGTATTTACTATTACCAGTGAGTTTTGTACCTTCACATGATTTGTTATTGCTCATTAAAGTTCTTATCTTTCAGACTGAAGAACTCCATTTAGTTTTTCTTCTTCTTTTTTTTTTTTTTGAGACAAAGTCTGGCTGTGTCGCCCAGGGTGGAGTGCAGTGGCACGATCTCGGCTCACTGCAACCTCCGCCTCCTGGGTTCACACCATTCTCCTGTCTCAGTCTCCTGAGTAGCTGGGACTACAGGTGCCCGCCACCACGCCCTGCTAATTTTTTGTATTTTTAGTAGAGACAGGGTTTCACTGTGTTAGCCAGGGTGGTCTCAATCTCCTGACCTTGTGATCCGCCCGCCTGGGCCTCCCAAAGTGCTGGGATTACAGGCTTGAGCCACCGCGCCCGGCCAGTTTTTCTTCTTGAACAGGTCTCATGTTGATAAAATCCCTCAGCTTTTATTTTTCTGGGAAGATCTTTATTTGTCCTTCATGTTTGATGGATAATTTCACTGGATATACATGCTATTCTAGGATAAAAGTTTTTAACTTCGGCACTTTAAATATGTCATGCCATTCTCCTGGCCTGTAAGGTTTCCACTGAAAAGTCTGCTGCTAGATGTATTGGAGGTCCATTGTTGTTTCTTTTCTCTTGATGCTTTCAGGATCCTTTCTTTATCCTTGACCTTTGGGAGTTTGATTATTAAATATCTTGAAGTAGTCTTATTTGGGCTAAATTTGCTCTGTATTCTGTAACCTTCTTGTATTTGAATATTGATACCTTTCCCTGGGTTTGGGATGTTCACTGTTATTATCCCTTTGAACAAACTTTCTATCCCATTTTTTCCTCTACCTCTTTAAGGCCAATAACTCTTAGATTTGCCCTTTTGAGGCGATTCTCTAGATCTTGTAGGAGTGCTTCCTTCTTTCTTAATTGTTTTTTCTTTTGTCTCCTCTGATTGTGTACTTTAAAATAGCCTGTCTTTAAGCTCGCTAATCGATTCTTTTTCTTGATCAGTTCCACAGTTGACAGCCACTGATGCGTTATTCTTCAGTATGTCGGTTGCATTTTTCAACTCTAAAATTTCTGCTTGATTCTTTTTATTTTACTCTCTGTTAAATTTATCTGATAGAATTCTGAATACCTTCTCTGTGTTATCTTGAATTTCTTTTTCCTCAAAACAGCTATTTTGAATTCTCTGTCTGACTGAGAGGTCATATATCTCTGTCTCTCCATGATTGGTCACTGGTGCCTTATTTAGTTTGTTTGGTGAAGTCATGTTTTCCTGGGTGGTTTTGATGCTTGTGGATGTTCACTGGTGTCTGGGCATTGAAGAGTTAGGTATTTATTGTAGTCTTCACAGTCTGGTTTTATTTGTACTCATCCTTCTTAGGAAGGCTTTCTAGGTATTCGGAGGGACTTGGGTGTTGTGATCTAAGTTTTTGGTCATTGCAGCCGTATCTGCATTAGGGGGCACCCCAAGCCCAATAGCACTGTGTCTCTTGGATAAGATTCAGAAGAATCCTCTGGATTATCAGGCAGAGACTCTCGTTCTCTTTCCTCACTTTTTCCCAAACAGGAGTCTTTCTGTGCTGATCTCTCTGGAGCTGGGGGAGGAGTGGCACCAGCACCTTTGTGGCCACCACCACTGGGACTGCAGTGGGTCAGACCTGAAGCTGGGTCTCACCTGAGGCTCATGGTAACCACTACCCGGCTACTGCCTTTGTTTGCTTAAGGCCCTAGGACTCTGCAGTCAGCAGGTGGTGAAGCTAGCCGAGCTTGTGTTCTTCTCTTCAGTGCAGAGTTTCCCTCAGTCCCAGTTGGGTCCAGAAATGCTGTCTGAGAGGCAGGGCTTGGAGTCAGAAACCTTAAGGAACCTACCTGGTACTCTGTTCTACTGTGGCCGTGCTGGCATCCAAGCCACAAGGCGAAGTTATTCCCACTCTACAGTCCCCATCCATAGAATGATTAAGTGGTGACCTGTCAAAGGAGAATCCTCAAATGTCAGCATATATTGTTTTTTTATCCTTTGGGTTTTCAAGAAAGGTTGTAACCCTGGATGTCTGTGTTTTTGTAGTATTCTGGATCCTGGAAAGGGAAGCTAGAATTTTCCTTGTTGACAGTACAGATCTTCATATGATCCCTTTATTTTCAGTGGGGTACCCTGACTATCAGCTGTCTCAGATTCCAGACCCTCTGGTTCAGGCTCTCCAAAAAGGCAAAGGATTTTCCACCAAGCATCCTAGTTTCAACCCCACTCTAATACCTCTGCCTTTTAGAGTCTTTATGTTTACCCGTTGAGCTAACTGGGCTACCTCTGATGTTGCAGGTATTGCTACTTGCAATTCCTGAGCCTGTAGCACAAATTAGCTATAAGTTACTATTTCAATTTTTTCTGCTTTACCAATTCAGTTACCAGCCATTTGTCTACTTTTCATATTTTGAAATGTTATTAACATTTCTTTATTGCTCTTACCTCCCTTATTCTCTTTTTTCCTTTGGACTTATACCATTTTTCTTCCTGTATTCTCTTTTACAGGGTTTTAGGAGGGAGAGAGATTTAGCACATTAATCAGTCTGCACCATTTAAGAACTTTCTAAACTTAAGCAGAATTAAGACATAACAGCAGAGAAAGATTAATTTGACCACTGAAAACTGTTAAATTTATGCATAGCAGAAGACATAAAATTGAAAAGCATGTAACAGGCCGGGTCGTATGTAACAAGTATGACACAGAGTAATACTCCTAATATAAGAAGAATTCAAATACAAATACATAAGAAAAATACTATCCCCCAAAAGATAAGTGGGCCCAGTACCTGAAGAGATATTTCATGAGCACATACATATCTCTGATTTTCAGTATCACAAATAGTCAGAAATGTATACTAAAGCAAGTTGTCATTTTAAACTCAAAAGAAAAATGCATTTGTGTGTGCGTGGAGTATATATACAGAGGAAAATGTGAAGAGTGGAGCATTTTCCTGGACTGCAAATGGCAGTTTAAACTGGAACAGGAACCGGGCATGGTGTCTCACACCTGTAATCTCAGCACTTTGAGAGGCCAAGATGGGCGGATCACCTGAGGTCGGGGGTTCGAGACCAATCTGACCAACATGGAGAAACCCCGTCTGTACTGAAAATACAAAATTAGCCGGGCGTGGTGGCTCATGCCTGTAATCCCAGCTACTCGGGAGGCTGAGCCAGGAGAATCGCTTGAACCCAGGAGGCGGAGGTTGCTGTGAGCCAAGATTGCGTCATTGCACTCTAGCCTGGGCAACAAGAGTGAAACTCCGTCTCAAATAAGTAAATAAACAAACAAACAAACTGGAACAGGTGTAGAGGAAAACAGATTAGCAATATGCTTGACTATCTTTTGACTTACGGATTTTTCCTTAGGAAGTAGAATTTCTCCTAGGGAAATATTTCAAACTGTGGACCAAAATAGGCAAAAAGATGCCCATCTTATTTTTAATATTACTAGCTAGGTAGAATAACTGACATTTATTGAACCTTTAGTGTGTGTTTCAAGAACTGTGCTAAAAGTGTTTAACATGTATCATCCCATGTAATCCTCACAACCACCATATGAGATAAATGCTATATTTACCTTCTTTGAAAACACAGAGGCTAGACTGCCAAACCAGGCTGGAGCCCAGGTCTTATTTAAAACATTTATTCTTTAACCGTCATGCTCACAATTTTCTGTAAATACATATTACTTTTATAAGGATGAGGGAAAAAAGTAAACATTTTCAGTGTGTCAGTAGTGTAAGTATGTTTCAGTTATCTAAACATCCAACTAGACTAAAACAGCTAAATTTAGCAACTCATTGTACTTTTATGATACAATATGCAGCCATTAAAAAGTCATATTTTAGCCAGGCACAGTGACTCATGCCTGTAATCCTTGCACTTTGGGAGGCTGAGGTGAGCAGATCACCTGAGGTCGGGTGTTCGAGACCAGCCTGACCAATATGGTGAAACCCCATCTCTACTAAAAATACCAAAATTAGCCTGGCTGTGGTGGTGCTTGCCTGTAATCGCAGCTACTCAGGAGGCTGAGGCAGGAGAATCATTTGAACCTGGGAGGCGTACCTTGCAGTGAGCAGAGATCGTACCACTGCACTCCATCCTGGGTAACAGAGGGAGATCTTGTCTCAAAAAACAAACAAACAAATTGAAATATTTTTCTGAGCTTATTGTAGGTGGAAATATACAAAAAAATTTTAATCATTACTCCTGAGTGGTTGGTTTACAGGTGTTTATTCGTTTTCTTTTCTATGTTTTTTCTTTGTTTTCCAAATTTTGAATGTGTATTACTTTTGAAATCAGAAAAAAAGTTATAGTAATTATTTTACCTATTAATGTCGAATGACGTGAATATGCTTATATGTCTGGGAAAAAACAGTTGTAAAGTCATATATATAGTACGATTTCAGCTAGATATTATTTTTTTTTAAGCCTGAGAAAATACCCTACATGGAAATGTACAAAAATACTAACAGTGATGTTATCCCAGGGAGAGAGTAATGAGGATGAACTTTTATTATGTATTACTTTTTTCTCTATCTTCAAAATTGTACAATATGAGCATATTTATGTAATAGAAAATTTAATATTTTAACTTGGAGGACGTGTCTTTACTTTTTCTTATATTTTTAGACGTTTGAAGACAGTGATTTGTTCCATTTGATTGGTGTTATCTGTGGCTTAGCAATTTATAATTTTACTATTGTGGACCTCCATTTTCCTTTGGCTTTATATAAGAAACTACTGAAAAAGAAGCCATCCTTGGATGATTTGAAAGAACTAATGCCTGATGTTGGGAGGTTAGTTGGAAAAAAAAGTCAAAAGGTAGTAGGGTTTGGGAGGTAAGAAGTGGGGAATGTACAGAAAACTTTCCTTCTATGAATAAATATATTTTGTTCTTCTTGTTAAATTTCTGAAATAAACAAATGCTCTTCTCTGATAAAGGAAAATCCATTATGTTACTCAGATCAAAATGTTCTATTGAAAGACGAAATTTGGCTGGCGCAGTGGCTCACACCTGTAATCCTAGCACTTTGGGAGGCTGAGGCAGGTGGATCACCTAAGGTCAAGAGTTTGAGACCAGCGTGGAGGTCAGGAGTTCTAGACCAGCGTGACCAACATGGTGAAAGCCCATCTCTACTAAAATACAAAAATTAGCCAGGCGTGGTGGCCCACGCCTGTAGTCCTACCTACTCAGGAAGCTGAGGCAGGAGAATCACTTGAACCCAGGAGACAGAGGTTGCAGTGAGCTGAGATTGTACCATTGTACTCCAGCCTGGGTGGCAGAGCAAGCCTCCGTCTCAACAAAAAAAGACAGATTAAATTTTTAGTTGTTAGACAATACCTTGCAAATATCAGATCATCACCTTAGGAAAGTAAATTTTTTCTGAGAGTGATTAATTGATTTATTTGGACTTTTACTTCTGATAACCTTCATTCCTAGTTTGAATATGTGAAATTTATTTTTATTTATTAAATAAAATGGATTAAAGATTTTATATAAATAAGGACAAATGGGCCAGGTGTGGTGGCTTATGCCTGTAATCCTAGCACTTTGGGAGGCTGAGGTGGGCAGATCACGAGGTCAGGAGTTCAAGACGGGCCCGGCCAACATGGTGAAACCCGGTCTCTACTAAAAATACAAAAATTAGCTGGGCATGGTGGTGGGCGCCTGTAATCCTAGCTGTTCTGGAGGCTGAGGCAGGAGAATTGCTTAAAAACCTGGGGGGCGGAGGTTGCAGTGAGCCAAGATCGCGCCACTGCGCTCCAGCCTGGGCAACAGAGAAGACTCCATCCTGGGTAAAATAAAATAAAATAAGGAAAAATGTTAAAAATAGGTGAATACATGGCCTTTGTATTCAGAAAAGTGGTAAGAACCTTTGACTAATTTTTTTCCTTCAGCATCATTTATAAGTTTGCCATTGTGTAGTCACTATTCTGCAACAAATATAAAATTACAAATTGACAAAAGGATTTTACTAAGAGGGAATGAGAAGTGTGTGTATATATATATATATATATATCCGTAAGTAAAACAGTCAAAATATCCAATAATGTTTTTCCTCTCAGAAACATGTATATTATTTTGCAGAAGCATGCAACAGTTACTGGATTATCCAGAAGATGACATAGAGGAAACATTTTGTCTTAATTTTACGGTAAGATGCAAAGACGTAGGTTAGCCTGATTATTCATCATCCCTTTTATGTAAGCTATATCTTATGGTTCTTCTTTATTTTGATGGATGGAATTCTTAACAAATCCTTTAGCTAACATTTATTGAGCATTTACTACGTGCTAACTAGTCATAGTACATGCATTTCATTTAATCCTCAACAATCCAGTGAAGTTAGGATTATCCCTGTTTTACAGATGAAGAAAACTGAAAACAGTCATTACCTTGGGAGTCAGTATACATACCAGCCTCTGTGACTTAAACCTGTGTACTTTATCGTTATGCTAAATATATTTACAAATACAAGACGTCCTCTTTACCCAAGTGTTCATTTTTGAGTCTGCAATTACAGAAATGCTTTAGAGAAGCAAAAGGTTATTGTAATGTGAGAATATTACTACTAAACTTAAAAACATTAATTTCCACTGGTACATTCCTTTCTATTTCACACTAACATTCATCCTTGCCCATCTTGTCTTACTCACTGTTGGATGACATAGATAAAACAAATGCAAATGCATTGCAATATCATTTGGAAAATGAAATTGCAAATCTTGTAAAAGATGCACAATTTCCTTAAGGCAGTGAAAGGGATGTGGTTTTTTGTCTTTTGTTTTTTGAGACATAGTCTTGCTGTGTCACCCAGGCTGGAGTACAGTGGCGCGATCTTGGCTCACTGCAACCTTTCCTCCCAGGTTCAAGCGATTCTCCTGCCTCAGCCTCCTGAGTAGCTGGGATTACGTGCTCGCCACCACGCTCAGCTAATTTTTGTGTTTTTAGTACAGACAGGGTTTCACCACCTCGGCCAGGCTGGTCTCGAACTCCTGACCTTGTGATCCACCCGCCTTGGCCTCCCAAAGTGCTGGGATTACAGGTGTGAGCCACTGCACCTGGCTGAAAGGGATGTTAAATAACTGATCCAGTCACAGGCAAAGCCATTTATAGATGAGGATATGGCAGAAGTAGACTAGTTGGCAATTAAATAAGAGAAAATTCGTAAGGATTATGATGAGGCACTAAGAAGGGAACAATTTGAATATTATAAATTAGACTCTTGGAAAAATTGTAAAACCTTCAGTTTTTCTTTTTCTTTTTTTTTTTTTTTTTTTTTTTTTTTTTTTTTTTGAGACAAAGTCTTGCTCTGCCCAGGCTGAAATGCAGTGGTACGATCTCAGCTCATTGCAACCTCTACCTCCCAGATTCAAGCAATTCTCCTGCCTCAGCCTGCTGAGTAGCTGGGACTACAGGCGTGCACCACCATGCCCAGCTAATTTTTGTATTTTTAGTAGAGATGGGATTTCACCATGTTGGCCAGGATGGTCTCAATCTCTTGACCTTGTGATATGCCCCCGTTGGCCTTCCAAAGTGCTGGGATTACAGGCATGAGCCACAGCACCCGGCCTCTTTTTATTTAAAAAATTTTTTATTTGTATATTTGTTTGCCACCCTGCCACATACACAACAGTTATCTTTATGGTTTTGTCAGAGCTGACGAAAGATGCCATATTCTGCTGTCATGAAATTTGCCCAGAAAAAATTGCACGTTCATATTCTTTTCAAGAAAATCTTGAGACTATTTTCTGGCCAGGCACGGTGGCTCACGTCTGTAATCCCAGCACTTTGGGAGGCCGAGGCGGGCAGATCACTTGAGGTCAGGAGCTAGAGACGAGCCTGGCCAACATGGTGAAACCCCGTCTAGACTAAAAATGAAAAAATGAGCCAGGCGTGATGGCACGTGCCTGTAATCCCAGCTACTCGGGAGGCTGAGGCAGGAGAATCGCTTAAACCCGAGAGGCGGAGGTTGCAGTGAGCTGAGATCGCGCCATTGCACTGCAGTCTGGGTGACAGAGTGAGACTCCGTCTCAAAAAAAAAAAAAAAGTTGCTCTCCGCAAATCCAGACAACAACAGAAAAGCATTTTCCAAAGTGTGTTCCTGTTAGAATAAGGTGACCATAAAATTTTTTTAAAAAACTATTTTCTATGAAATTTTGCTTCTCTTTTTCATTTGATTCACTCATACCCATGTTAGTTTCTTGAATTTTTATTCATCATCTCAGTTGACTAAAAAATTGAGTTTCAAGCTGTTTAATTTCTAATTTATCAGTCACCAAATTTATGAACTCTTACTGTATTCAAAGAACTATGGTAATTCAAACATTTCTTCCCACTGCCATTTCTTTCTCAGAAATTTTTCAGTGGCTTTTTATTGCTTGTAGAATAATAGCTTTAGAATGGGTGTCAAAGACATTTATAACCTGGCTCTCTTCCTTTCATTGTATCCCTCCCTTCATACCAAGTTTTGTCATATCACACAGTATTTTTTTTAATATACCTTACCTTCCTCTTTTTCAGAGTCACTTGCCATACATTTTCAGAAACTTGATATTGTAAATATCTAATTTTTTTGTTCAATCGATATTGTCTGTCTGAAATCTCACTCTCTTAATCTTTCAAAATACTACCCATACTTGTAGGTGCTTTTCAGATGGCATTTCTTCCTCAAGGTCTTTCACACGTCCTCTAGTTTAGAATTCCGTTTGCATTCCTCTATGATCTGATAACATTTTGTTCATATGTCTGTTATAAATGCATTATTTTATTATAATTGGTTCTTTACATGTTACATTTCTCTTCCTTTACTACATAGTAAACTTCACAGCAGGAGTATATTCATCTAACATCCCACTCCCATCATAGTGTTTTATAAATAGCAAGTTTTCATAAAAGAGGATAATATTCCAAAAAGAAGGAATAGCAAAAGAAAAGATGCAGAAGTGGTCATGGTAATATTTTTAGAAAAATTCGAAAAGTAAAAGAAATAAAAGGTTTCAAAATACTTGACTATTTTTATAAACCAAATTAGTACATAACTGGAAAAACTGCCTGTGATCAAGTTTACAACAAGGGTGGTAGAGGAACCCTGGAGTAGCAGTTGTCATGTGGGAAGAATGCGTGGTTTTCTAAGCTGAATGCATTCTCATACTTGGATTTTTATCACTCATCTAAGGAAAACATCCTAATATTTTATAGTAACCATTCTAAAGTTTTATGCACAACAAATGCTTAGTTTCCTTATTAACTTACCAAACACTTGGTAATTTGTAATTAATCATGGTAGGATTTCAAACTAGAGAGGATCAAAATTTCTAGTTCTGGCTTTAAGCAGAATTCTCAGATAAGCTATATGGTAGCAGAATTTTATCTCAAATTTAGTAGTTTTTTTTTAATTATTAAATGAGAGGTAGATATAATAATAGATTATTAGAATACTCTAAGTTTTGAGTCTGACATTGACTTTTTTTAAAAATTTAAATTAATAGATCACAGTTGAAAACTTTGGTGCAACAGAAGTCAAAGAGCTGGTTCTAAATGGTGCAGACACAGCTGTTAACAAACAAAATCGGTAAGTGAATTTTAGCAGCAACAGTGGGAATAATAAGATTCAGTAGACATTTTCTTCTGTGTGTAGAAAATGTGTCACAACGCTAAGTTTTTACTCCAATAAAACTTTAATTTTGAGTGGTTAGTGAGGAAATAATCTGCCTTTTCCTCCTGAAATCCCTTGAAGACATTAAACAAAACAAAGAGAAGGGAGAAGTGACAGCAGCAAACATTTTTGGAAGCCAGGAAACAGTAGTAACTAACTTTAGCAAACCAGAGAAAGCTGCAACATGAGATGGAAAAGAGGAGCCACGAAGCCAGCTGGATCACTTCACAAAACGAAAGTTTGGGTGCTGAGAACAAAACATACCTTTAGAAAATGTGTGGTGTTTGGGGAAATGCTAGAAACAGGACTCTTGTAAGAAGCAGTTAGAAACTAGTTTCCCATGCTAACATTGGGTTTAAAACAACAACAAAAGAAACTAGTTTCCCTTAGCACACCAGGAAGCTGGCAACTGCTCCTCTCTGGCCTGGGCAGGAAATTGGAAATTTACCTTCTGGAGAAATTGGACTGTGGATTTGAGGACACCTAGAGACTGCCACAGGCAAGGAGCTGAACTGAAAACAGGGAGATTAAGTGCTGAAAGTCTATCGCTGCCTCCTCCTTGGTACCGTATAGTGGTAGATCCTTTTCTGGGGAAACTGCCTAACATTTAAAATGTAAATCCATAGGCCGGGCACAGTGACTCACGCCTGCAATCACAGCAGTTTGGGAGGCTGAGGCGGTCACATCATGAGGTCACGACAATGATACCATCCTGGCTAAAGCAGTGAAACCCCATCTTTACTAAAAATACAAAAAATTAGCTGGCCGTGGTGGCATGTGCCTGTAGGTCCAGCTACTTGGGAGGCTGAGGCAGAAGAACTGCTTGAACCCAGTGAGCTGAGATCGTGCCACTGTGCTCCATTCTGGGCGACAGAGCAAGGCTCCGTCTCAAAAAAAAAAAAAAAAAGTTAATCGATAGCCAAAGGTCAACAGACATTTAAGGAAAGACCGAAACAGTCAAAAAGAATGGCAAGAAACCAGGAACCCTGCAGGTTGAAGGACAAAACGTCAGAGGAAACTGAAATCAGTATCCTCAGAATGATGCGTGACATCCAGATGGATACAATTAAAAATGGAAAAAAAAATTCATTTGAAAGAAATGGAATTAATGAAATCTGTCAAAGAAGATATTTTTTAAAAAATAAATAAACTTCCCAGAAGTGAATGACATCCTTTCAAGATTGAAAACATGAGAAGTGGAAAAAAGATCAATACCAAGACAAGATGACAAGATACATGAAATTTCAAAATTTTCAAAGTCAAAGGGATCCTAAAACTGTCCAGAAAACCCACAGACCTAAGAATTAGTAACATCAGACCCTGGAATCAAAGAACACTGGAAGCTAGAAGACCAAAATTTTAGGAAAAAATTACTTTTAACTTAGAATTTTGTATCCAAATTATCAAGTGTGTGAGTGTTTAAAAACATTTTCATACATGCACAGTCTCAGAGAATTTACTTCTGAAGCCTTTTTCTCAGGAAATTACTGGAGGATGTGTTCTATCTACCAAAACAAGGAATTAAACCAAGAAAGAGGAAGACACAGGATTAAAAAAGCAACAACAAACTACCAAGATTCACGCAAGCAAGGATTCTTTTTGAAGGATCAATAACTGTGTCGATTTAGAAAGCTAACAACCTGGGTTAGATCAAGAGGATGGAGGGCTCGAGTAGAGAAATGCAACTGATAGTACCTAATTTTTGAATGAATCTAGAGGAAATGGATATTTCTTTTGGAGAAGTTGGGGATGAATTAGCAAACTAAGGAAAATAGAAGTTCTTTTTAAGGGAAAAAGGGTAACCATAGAATACAACTTAACTGTGAATAATATAGAAATGTTAACAAATATTGAACCAAAAATTGTTATATAAATACAATAGATGTGCAGGGGAGTAGAAAGTGAATGGGACAATTACATTAAAGATAAATCCAAACCACCACATTGAAATTTAAGGAATAACAGTAGAACTGTGTTGTTAGAAGCTTGAATGTAAATATCAGAAGGAATAGCAAAAAGAATTAACAAATAGTTGCCTTTGAATAGTGGGAATTTCTGGCAGAGAAGTGTTGGACAGAGAGTTTCTTTATTCTCTTCTGTTTTGTTACAATTCTTTAATAATGGCTGTTGCCAGGGAATTGGTCCAAAGGATTATAATCCTAATTCTGCTACTTAGAAGCTTTATAACTTTAAATAAATTAGTTGATGTCTCAATGCCTTAGTGTCCTTCTCTGTTAAATGGAATGACAAATTGTACCTATTTCATGGGATGATTTTGAGGACTAGATGAGACAATATTTTAAGATACTTAGAATAAGACTTAGCACATGTAGTGCTCAGTAAATGTTGGCTGTTAGGATTGTTACTATTTGATGTTTTAAACTCTTGATATGTCTTACTTTGATAAAAATAAAGCTGTTTTTAAAATGATGTGAAAAAATTTTAGGTCCTAGATATCCTTGTTTTGAAAGAAAATTTGGTTTTGAAAGGTGGTTTACCATTATTCCTATTGCAGAATCATCCTTTATTACTTGGAAGATGAAGATATAAAATAGTGAAATCTTCTAGTACCCATTCTCATTATTTGTTTGACCAGATAGCATCATAAAATGTTGTGGCTAGCAAAACAAAACAAATTGAATAAGATCGTGGTTCAAATTCGGGGGTTAAAGGGGCTTCCTTTTTTTCTTTACAGTTTCCTTTTGTATCATAAGAGGTAGAAGAGAATCAGAAGTGATTGTGTATGTATTCAGATATACATTTGAAAAGAAACTACACTTGTACTCTTTAATGATTATCCGAAAAGAATGCTTAGTATCCTCTCTCAGGCATTTGTTAAAGTAAATGTTGTTCAGATTCCTTGGAACCCACGGAAAAGAAGGCTATAGTTTGTCAAATGATCTGAATCCCAAAGCTCTTATTTTTTCATCACCTATTGTTTGTAACAGATCATTCCTTTTAGGGATGCATGTGACTTGATATATATAAATTCTCAATAACTTGTAAATATTTTAAAATTATTTTCATAGCCATTCACATTATTCTGCCCATTAGGAAATGACATTTTTTCCAATAGGAATAGCCTAAGAATAACTGAATGCCTCATGGATATAGCTGATTTTTATATGGAAAGAATAATAGCTTTTTTCATAATGAGTTTGGTTTTGTCCTGTTTGAACCCTACTCATACGTTCTCAGTTTCGTATATATGTAGCAGAAATTGTAGGAGCACTTGAAGTTTTAATGACTACATTATGGATTCTTCATAAATGATTTTTATAATCTGTACATGTGTGCTTTTTCATTTCTAGACAAGAGTTTGTTGATGCTTATGTGGATTACATATTCAATAAATCAGTGGCTTCCTTATTTGATGCTTTTCATGCGGGCTTTCATAAGGTCTGTGGAGGAAAAGTCCTTCTGCTCTTTCAGCCTAATGAACTACAAGCAATGGTCATTGGAAATACAAATTATGATTGGAAGGAACTGGAAAAGGTAGGGGAAAACTAATCTCTGATATTGTTTAAATGGAAAGGCTCATATGTGGAAGTCTTGCCTTTTTATGTATTATTTTTTGTTTTATACACTTTATTACTACCATTTTACAGGAAAGCACTCTACCCTTCTTGGCCCACAATGAATGGATTTTTGAACTGTGTATGAATTAGACACTACTATAATTGGTGGTATTGATATAGAAAACTCATCTGGCCAGGCACAGTGGCTCTCACCTATAATCCCAGCACTTTGGGGCGCTTAGGCGGGAGGATCACTTGAGGCCAGGAGTTCAACAGCAGCCTGGGGAACATAGCGAGACTTCATCTCTAAAAATAACTTAGGCCAGGCGCGGTGGCTTACATCTGTAACCCCAGGACTTTGGGAGGCCAAAGTGGGTGGATCACCTGAGGTCAGGAGTTCAAGACCCACCTGGCCTACATGGTGAAACCCTGTCTCTACTAAAAATACAAAAATTAGCTGGGCGTGGTGGCATGTGCCTGTAATCCCAGCTACTCAGGAGGCTGAGGCAGGAGAATCTCTTGAACCTGGGAGGCGGAGGTTGCAGTGAACTGAGATTGTGCCACCGTACTCCAGCCTGGGCAACAGAGCAAGGCTCTGTCTCAAAAAAAAAAAAAAAAAAAAAAAAAAGTTAAGTAAATAAAAATAGATAAAAATAATTTTTAAAATTATCCAGATGTGGTAGCAAACACCTGTGGTCCTACCTGTGGGAGGCTGGGGTGGGAGAATCTCTTGATCCCGGGTGGTTGAGGCTGCGGTGAGCCATGATTATACCACTGCACTCGAGCCTGGATGACAGAGCAGGAGCCTGTCTGTCTCAAGAAAAGAAAAATGTCATCTGTGACACAGCTGGGTAGAAGCCCTAACCAAGCCGGGCATGGTGGCTCACACCTGTAATTCCAACACGTTGGGAGACTGAGGCAGGTGGATCACCTGAGATCAGGAGTTCCAGGCCAGCCTTGCCAATGTGTTGAAACCCTGTCTCTACTAAAAATACAAAAATTAGCCGGGTGTAGTAATCCCAGCTACTTGGGAGGCTGAGGCAGGAGAATTGCTTCAACCTGGGAGGCGGAGGTTGCAGTGAGCCAAGATCACGCCACTGCACTCTCCGAAAAAACAAAAAGCCCTAGCCAAAAGTGAATGGGTTTTCGTTCTGCCTCAGTCCTAGGAAAACCATTATGAAATGCAGTTGTGATGCTTAAAAATCTTTGTTTCCTTTTTTTCTGATTAGTCTCAGTGTTACATTTTTTAGCAGAGTAATTATCAAATATTGATTCTGATAAACATTTAATAGAAAGTGCTACCCGGGTGCAGTGGCTCATGCCTGTAATGCCAGCACTTTGGGAGGCCGAGGTGGGCAGATCACGAGGTCAAGAGATCAAGACCATCCTGGCCAACCAACATAGTGAAACCCCATCTCTACTAAATATACAAAAATTTGGGCATAGTCTTGCACGCCTGTAGTGCCAACTACTCGGGAGGCTGAGGCAGGAGAATCGCTTGAACCTGGGAAGCAGAGGTTGCAGTGAGCCAAGATCGTGCCATTGCACCCCAGCCCAGTCAACAGAGCAAGACTCCATCTCAAAAAAAAGAGAAAGTACTAAGTTAAGCTAGGCATGGTGTCTCACACCTGTAATCCTAGCAATTTGGGAGGCTGAGGCAGGCAGATCCCTTGAGGCCAGGAGTTGGAGACCAGCCTGGCCAACATGGTGAAACCCCGTCTCTACTAAAAATACAAAAATTAGCCAGGTGTGGTGGCGCACTCCTATAATACCAGCTACTTGGGAGGCTGAGACACAAGAATCACCTGAACCCAGGAGGCAGAGTGACAGAAAGTGCAAGGTTAGATCAGCTTTGAGGAAGATATATACAAAGTTAATCTGCTGATTTTCTATCTTTATAATGTACCATCCTCTGATTTATGCATTTATAATTAGATACTGTATACCTAATAAGATGACTAACATAAAAAAGTAGAGCTAGCACTTACCTACTTTTTTTTTTTTTTTTTTGAGGCGGAGTCTCGCTCTGTCGCCCAGGCTGGAGTGCAGTGGCGCGATCTCGGCTCACTGCAAGCTCCGCCTCCCGGGTTCCTGCCATTCTCCTGCCTCAGCCTCCCGAGTAGCTGGGACTACAGGCGCCACCACCACGCCCGGCTAATTTTTTTTGTATTTTTAGTGGAGACGGGGTTTCATTGTGTTAGCCAGGATGGTCTCGATCTCCTGACCTCGTGATCCGCCCGTCTCGGCCTCCCAAAGTGCTGGGATTACAGGCTTGAGCCACCGCGCCCGGCCACTTACCTACTTTTTATGTCAGTCATCTTAATAGGCGCAAAGCATGAACATTTGTACATTGCCGATGGGGATACAAAATGGTACAGTCACTTTGGAAGCAGTGGCGGTTTCTTATAAAGTTAAACATACATTTGCTATATGACCTAGCAGTCCTACTCCCAGGTATTAAATTATGTTCACACAAAAATCTGTAAACAAAGGGGACAGAGTTTCAGTTTTACTAGATGAAAAGAATTCTGGAGATGGATGGTGGTACAACCTTGTGAATGTAGTTAATGCTACTGAAGTGTACACTTAAAATGGTTAAGATGTAAACTTTATGGTATGTGTGTTTTACCTTAACTTTTAAATACTTTTTTTTTTTTAATTTGCAAATGAGTAAAAAACGAAACAACCTAGATGTCCTTCAGTGGGTGAATGGGTGAACCTACTACAGTGTACCTATTCAGCAGAATAACTACTAAGTGTTAAAAAGAAATGCACAGCTGGGCGTGGTGTCTCACACCTTTAATCCTGGCACTTTGGGAGGCTGAGGTTGGCAGATCTCTTGAGCCCAGGGGTTCGAGACCAGCCTGGACAACATGATGAAACCCCCTCTCTACAAAAAATACAAAAATTGGCCCTTTATGGTGGCGTGCACCCATAGTCCCAGCTACTCCGGAGGCTGAGGTGGGAGGATCCCTTGAGCCCGGGAGGTAGAGGCTGCAGTGAGCCCTGACTGTACTCTGACGTAGGCAACAAAGCAAGACCCTGTCTCAAAAAAGAAAAAAAAGCACTGTTGATACATGCAACAACTGGATGAATCTGAGGCTTTATGCTGAGTGAAAGAAGCCAATTTCAAATGGTTGCATACTGTATGGTTCCATTTATGTGACATTCTTGAAAAGATAAAAAATTATAGTGAACAGAGACTAGGGGTTGAGTGGGAGGGTCTGACTTCAGAGGAGGTAGCACAAGAGACATCTAAGCATAACAGTGATGGGACTGTTCAGTACCCTAATTGTGGCAGTGGTTACACAAATCTGCATATGTGCTTAGAACTTACAGAACTATATACACACCAGTATATAGCCAGTTTTATTGTGTAGTCATTTAAGGAATAAGATTTTAAGAATAATTAGGGCTTCTAATTAAACATTATGGAATAAACATGTCTGCTCCCTCCTAAAAATCTCACTAGAATGACAGAAATGGAATAAAAATGGTAATATACACACCAAAAACTAAAAAATAAAAATGCAATGAACAAGAGAAGAAATAGTTTTGGAAGACAGAAGGTAAGGAGATAAATTGATGAGTGACTTAGAGCAGAGGAAAACTGAATTCTAAGCCTCCAGAGGGACAGGATTGTCAGGAGGCAACTCTTTTTTGTTGTTGTTTTTTTGAGATGGAGTCTCGCTCTGTCACCCAGGCTGGAGTGCAGTGGTGCGATCTTGGCTCACTGTAACATCCGCCTCCCAAGTTCAAGCGATTCTTCTGCCTCAGCTTCCCAAGTATGGAACTACAGGCATGCCACTATGCCCAGCTGATTTTTTTATTTTTTTAGTAGAGACAGGGTGTCACCATATTGGCCAGGCTGGTCTCGAACTCCTGACATCATGGTCTGCCTGGCCTGAGGCAACTCATTGTATATCCTAGAATCTGAAAGGCTCAAGAATTGGTATACCATGTTACCCTTAATAGCAGGGATGAGGGTTGGACTAAGGGCAACAGAATTGGACCATTCATGTCCCCCTTTCTACCCAGCAAAAGACAGCTTGGGAGAGAGGCTTTACAATTTGGGAAACCAGGTAAAACTGAGGATGCCACACAGCTGGTAACTGGGTGTAAATCCTTCAGGAAGAAGACTGAAGGTTCCTGTGTGGTAGTAAATTGATCTGCTCAAGAGAAGAAGCCTGTAGATACTAACTTTGAGGGGTCCTCCAGTGGAAATGGACTCCACCTCTAATCACCTTAAAATGAAAATGATACGACAGCTTCTCGTCACCCTTTAGATCCTACACAATTTGTCCCTCCTTGCTTCATCTCCTGTCGTCGTTCCTCTCACTCTGCCTCAGCCTTATTAACCTCCTTGCTGAGCCTAGAACCCTCCAGACACGTTCCAGTCTTAGGGTGTTTCTGTTTCCTTTTCCATGTGCCTGGAATTCTCTTCCCCTGATAATCCCAAAAGATTCTTGCTCTCGCTTCCTTTACGTGTTTGTACCTTATCAGAGACCTTCCCTGGATAACTGATCTAAAATTGCAAACCCCTCTCCTGCACATGTATCCTGTCTCCCCTCGCTGTTTTATTTTGCTACTTTGGATCTGACATCATTTTACTTAGGTTGCTCCTTCCCCCGACCACAATGTAAGTACCGTGAGAGCAGAATTTTTGCCTCTTTGTTCACTGCTGTATTCCCAGCACCTAGGAGAGCACTCAGTAAGTACTTGAAACCTTGCCTGAAGTGATAATTGATGTAAGTGTTCATTCAGTTAAAACAGGACATCTTAAAAAGTATATTGTAGCGTCCGGGCGCGGTGGCTCACGCCTGTAATCCCAGCACTTTGGGAAGCTGAGGCAGGCGGATCATGAGGTCAGAAGATCGAGACTATCCTGGCCAACATAGTGAAACCCCCGTCTCTACTAAAAATATGAAAATTAGCTGGGTGTGGTGGTGCGTACCTGTAATCCCAGCTACTCAGGAGGCTGAGGCAAGAGAATCGCTTGAACCTGGGAGGGAGAGGTTGCAGTGAGCCAAGATTGCACCACTGTACTCCAGCCTGGTGACAGAGCAAGACTCCATCTCAAATATATGTATATATATTATAGTGTATTTATACTTATAACACTTTGATTTCTTCTGTCGTATATCTGATTCATTACAATTTTAGTGATTATGATTTGGAGCTTTAAATGTTCTTTCTTGACCAGGACATGTGTGCACATTTTTACCAAACCATTTAGAGATTTAAAAGGAAAAAAAAAAAAATTTTAGCCATCCTCTTTTCCTTCCCCACTAACATGCTCACAGTTTAATAAATTGAGTGCTAGAATTAAAGCCGTTTTCTTCAAACTTGCTTGCAATTAACAGCAAATATTTTGCAGATCTGAATTATTGAGAGTTCAGTGATTAAGATAAATCATGGCTACAAATAAGGAGAGTCCAAAATTCAAGAGGCCCAGTAGCAAGTATTTATTGAGTCTCTACTGTATGCCTGATAATGTGCAACTGAAACTATGCAAGAGATTGAGGAGGGGGCAGAAAATAAGATAGAGACATGGTCTTTGCCCTAATAAGGGAGCTAGAAATTAAATGCTTTATACACAGTTTTGATGAATACAATGAAAAAGAATTTAGTGAGTGGTACATAAGGAGGAACCTAATCTAGGCTAGATGAATCTGGGAACGCCTCTCACTAGATAGTAAGCTCCGCAAGGCTAAGTGAGGATTCTGTTCACTGAGGTTTTCCCAGGGCCAAAAACATTGACTACAACTCATATTTGTTGGATCAATCAATGAATGAATTAGATGGCATTTAATCTGAGCCCTAAAAGAGTAAAAATTAGCCTGATGACCAAAGAAGAAAGGATGTGTCTGAGTGGTGTAGGCTGAGGAAACAGTACGTCCAAAGGACCTGATGCATCTGAAGAACTGAAAGTTAAGGCCAATTGTGGCTGGATAAGAACAGTTCACAATATAAACTATTTCCTCTCTGCTTCCTACCACCTTCTCTCTTAGTACTAATTTTTTTTTGGGTAGGGGGCAGTGGGGATGGAATTTCGCTCTTGTTGACCAGGCTGGAGTGCAGTGGCGCAGTCTCGGCTCACTACAACCTCTGCCTCCCGGGTTCAAGCAATTCTCCTGCCTCAGCCTCCCCCACGTAGCTGGGATTACAGGCATGTGCCACCACGCCCAGCTAATTTTTGTATTTTTAGCAGAGATGGGGTTTCACCATGTTGGCCAGGCTGGTCTGGAGCTCCTGACCTCAAGTGATCCACCTGCCTCGGCCTCCCAAAGTGCTGGGATTACAGGTGTGAGCCACCACGCCTGGCCAGTACTAATATTTTTGAAAGGGGAGATATATTACCCCAAAACTTACTGGCTTCAAATTACCTCAAAACTTATTGGCTTCAAAATAACAATGAAACTTTGTTGTTTTATAGTTTCTGTGGGTCAGGAATTCAGGAGTGGCTTAGCTGAGTAGTTTGGGCTCAAGGTTCCCTCATGAAGTTGCAGTCAGAATATTGGCTGGCGCTATAGTCGTCTAAAAGCATGGTTAAGGATAGAGATTCACTTCCAAGGTGGCTTACTCACCTGACTGTTGGCAGGGACCTCAGTATAATACCATGAGTACTTCTCTTCATATAGGGATGTTTGAATATCCTCATAAAATGACAACTGGTTCCCCCCAGAGTGAGTGAACCAGAAGAAGGGCTGAAGCCATAGAGGTTTTTGTTTGTTTGTTTTGTTTTTGTTTGTTTGAGACGGAGTCTTGCTCTGTCACCCAGGCTGGAGTGCAGTGGTGCGATCTCGGCTCACTGCAAGCTCTGCCTCCTGGGTTCACGCCATTGTCCCGCCTCAGCCTCCCCAGCAGCTGGCACAACAGGCGCAGACTACCACGTCTGGCTAACTTTTTTTTGTATTTTTAGTAGAGACAGGGTTTCACTGTATTAGCCAGGATGGTCTTGATCTCCTGACCTTGTGATCCGCCCGCCTCCACCTCCCAAAGTGCTGGGATTACAGGAGTGAGCCACCGTGCCCAGCCATAGAGGTTTTTTTTATGATTTAGTCTCAGAAGTCATACGTTCCTTATATTCACAATGTCCTTATTACACACGGGCATGAATACCAGGAGGCAGTGCTCACTGGTGGCCATCTTGTAAACTACCTCAGAAATTTTTTAGTGTCACTTAGTACCATATTTTTAAAAGGAGAGATAAATTTTAATGTTTGACTTCTGTTCATGAATACAGAAAAAGGAAATTTTCTGATTATCACAGATAATTCCATGTCAAACTTTTAATGGTCCTACAACATTATTTTAGTAATTCTAGTTTCTCTTTATTTTACTTTTGAAGATGATAGTATCCTATCATGTTATTTGAAGTGCTGGGAAAGATTTCTGGTGATTCTTACGTATTTCTTCTTCACCTGGAACTAATAACTTCAAATTGTAAATGTCCAGGAAACAGTGGGCAATCCACTGAATTGCACGAGTTTCAAACTCCTGGACCATGTTAGCTTTATGTGCTAATATATTAGCCAGTGTGTCCCTTCATACTAATAAAAGATTATGTTGTTTTTAGAATACAGAATACAAAGGGGAATATTGGGCAGAACATCCTACGATAAAAATTTTTTGGGAAGTATTTCATGAATTACCATTGGAAAAGAAGCAGCAGTTTCTGTGTAAGTATTTCTAATTAGTTGTGTACTTTATGAGTCTGGAATCTAATTATGGTATTATTCCAAAGTCCTGTTTTTAATATTCAAGTAATTTTTTTGAAAAAGAACTGATCTGCACTCTTCAGTACATGTATTTTCTTATTTCAAAGGCTAAATTCAGTTTGCCTCCAAAATAGCATTGATTCATTCTATGAAGTAAAACAGAAGCTAACTTGGAAATGAAAGCAAACTATAGCTATGTTACAGTTACAATAAACTGGTTACAATAAACTAGGATTGTAGAACTCCTTTTAGATTTCTAAAAAGATCTCTGGAGTATAGTCATCCTTTGGCATACATTGGGGGATTGGTTCCAAGACCTCCCTGCCAAGGATACCCAAATCCAATATACGCTCAAGTTTCTTATATAAATTGGCATCGTATTTGCATATAACCTATGCACATCCTTATACTTTCAGTCATCTCTAGATTAGTCATGGTGCCACATGATGACTTTTCAGTGAACGAGAGACCACATATATGATAGTGGTCCCTTAAGATTATAATACCTTATAATAACCTACTGTACCTTTACTGTGTTTAGATACACAGATACCTACTGTTATGTTACAGTTACCTACAGAAATCAGTACAGTACCATGCTGTACAGGTTTGTAGCCTGGGAGCAGTAGGACTGTATCACGTAACCTAGGTGTGTAGTAGACTGTACTGTCTAGGTTGTGTAAATATATGATATTTACACAATGAAATCGCCTAATGATGCATTTCCCAGAACATATCCTCCTCATTGACACATGAATATACCTGTATTAATACCTCATACAAAGTAAATGCTATGTAAATAGTTGTTATACTGTATTGTTGAGGGACCAGTGTGAAGAAAAAAAGTTGACATACTCAGTGCAGTCACAAGCAGCCATTTTTTGAAAATATTTTCCATTTGCAGTTGGTTGAATCCATGGATACACAATTCACAGATACGGAGGGCCAACTGTATTGCTCTTTTCTCTGTTTGGTCTTCATTTTCTTTTTGCTTCAAGACTAAAACTTTGGCAATTTCTATATAAAATAAAGCTTTTTCAGGCTTTAGTTCCCTCATTTATAACTGATGCCTGAGTATCTTTCTTCTGTTAAAGTCTGTATTCTAATTGAAATTTGGCTTATTTTTAAAGTTGTCAGATTTTATGTGTCCAAATCAGTGACATTTCCTTTGATACTCCTGCTGTTGCCAAGAATGTTTTAGCAATCTCTCCGAGAATCTTGGTCAAATTCTTCTGCATGTCATAAGGATGAGAAATCATTACTCTTTAAGAGTGTTTTGAGCCTGGGCAACATGGCAAAACCTCATCTCTACAAAAATTAGCCCTGGGCTTGGTGACACGCACCTATGCTCCCAGCTACTCCAGAAGCCGAGGTGAGAGGATTGCTCGAGCCCAGGCAGTCGAGGCTGCACTCCAGCCTAGGCAACTGAGCAAGGCTCGTCTCAAAAAAAAAAAAAGAATGATTTGAATTTTGGCTGCCCATTATAAATTTCTGATTTAAAAAAAAAAAAACAGAAATGAAGCAAATAGAAAATCATAATCAAAACTGCATTTTTATTTGGTTTGTCAACTAGTTCTAAATGGCTTTTTCCAAAAAAGGGCTCTCAAAATGTTTTGGCAATGACAATACTTATCAAACATGTATTAAGCACTTCCTTTGTGCCAGTATTAAGATTATACTTTTAAAGAAAAAATATTGTGAATGAGCAATTAGAATGTGTCTCAAAAAACTTGTCTTCCACAAATTAGGGAGTAAGTTAACACATTAGAGCAGATGTTAATGTGAAGCTCTGCTGTAGTGACTGTACAAAATATGACTTGCTACTTTTTGTTTTGAAGTGGTTGACTGAATGGTTTCTTTCTTGGCAGTATTTTTGACAGGTAGTGATCGCATTCCTATTCTTGGTATGAAGAGTCTGAAACTAGTCATCCAGTCAACAGGAGGTGGTGAGGAATATCTCCCAGTTTCCCATACTTGTTTTAATCTTCTGGATCTTCCAAAATATACAGATAAAGAAACTCTACGCTCTAAACTGATCCAAGCTATTGATCACAATGAAGGCTTCAGTTTAATATAACTTTGGAGTTCAACTATCCAGTTTAGTGCAAAAGCATTAAACTATTTGTGTTTTTCTTGTGGTGATGAATTCAGCAAGGTGACAGAGGTACTATTATAATTCTTACTTGCAGAATGTTCAATCTACGAGTGTTCATGGAAGTCAAAACATTAAAGGAAAATGAACAAACTGTTAATATTATTGTACAGAACCATGGATTTTTTTGACCATCTTCCAATAAACATAACAAGTATTGTGAATACATTAAAGTTCTACTAACATGAGTTTTAAGAGTTTGCATATTTCAGAAATGATCTGGTGTGAGTGCATGGAAATATTGCTTAATTTTTCTTCAATCATTGAGTGAAAAACCTTTAACTTTGGCCTGCAATAGTCATTTCATTATTTTTTCATTTTGTAAATAATGTTAAGTTTTGTAATAAAATAGTTATGTTCTGATACCAGTACAGTTTCTATGGTTGTAATTGAACTTGAGCAGACTTTTAGAGGTTAAAAATTATGATTTAAATCTTACTCTGAAACTCTATAAAAAGAAAAAAAAGGTAGCATGGTGGAAACACGATCTTTTTTTTGCTAGAATGTCTTTGTGCAAACCTAAATCACAAATAGGGAATATACTACATAACCTGCAGTTCTTTTCTCTTTTGTGAATCCTGACATGACATGCTGATAGATGGGGGATTGTTGATCAGAGAACTTATTAATATTTAGTACTGGAAGAACTCTGTCTCCACAGTTGCCAGTAATAGAAAGAAACATTGGCTACTATGAGCACCAATCACTGGCTTATAGCTTTCAAAAGTATTGATGCTGCAGGGCTTTAGAGCTATTTCCTTGAATTTAAGAAACAAATCTTAACGGTTTTATGGTGCTGATGCTTAGTTATCTCATGCCATTAAATTGTAAAAGTGAGTTGATGCAATACCTGTGACTTTCTGCTAGAATGCAAATATTTATTTTTTAAATTTATTTTAAAATGCCGTGAAAACTGTTTAATAAAGATTTATTGTTTTAATATTTAAACTTTCAGTGGTTCTCATATAAGAGTCAAAATTTTTCAAAAAGAGGGATGGCTCAGGGAAGGTCTCTTAAATTTCAGATTGCTTTCTATTCCCATACGAATTTATAGAGGTCCGCAGTCTCTTAACCTGTAATTCTAAAATCTAAAAAAACTGAAAATATTGTCATCTCTCACTTTGCAGAAAAACCTGATCTGAATTGTTGAAGCTATTTATGGTATTCACTAAATAAGACTATGACCCCTGTGGGTGCTTTAAAAAATTCTTTAAAATTCGTAATTCCAAAATGCAAATAAGCCCAAGGGGTTGGATGAGGGGTTGTGGACTTGTACTTTTCAGTAGGTCAACTTAAGAAACTATTGGCGAACCATGGAACTCTTCTATAGATAGAAGCACTAAAACAATGTTCTCACCTAAGGTACTTTTCCTCAAAGTAGTGGCATTCTTCCCCATGAGAATGTCTCCACGTACCTGATATTATACCATATTCCCTGTTCGTCCACTCCTTGAGGTAGTAATTCTTTGAATCAAAAACATGTCAGATGCTGTTTCTCAATAGTAGTAACCTTTGTATATTATGAAGCCGATCTGTGAAATAGCAGGCACTTTGGATTAATAGTTCCATGAACAAATACTGTAACAAGAGAATAGCATCTCATCCGGGAGCACATTGTACAAAGCTTAATTTGGGGACACTTCCTCCCTGTTACTCTAGACTATGATACAGTATATTAATTAACAGCAAGGAGATTCATGGTGGAAAGTTAAAATACCATTGAAGATTTCTGAAATTGCCATTTACTTTTAAAAAACAAGAAAAGTCCCGAGCTTTGTAGATAAGAACAGCAAAGCTGCAGATCATTTGCTAAATTGTAGGGACTTTGATTATTGAGTTGGCTAAATACTTAAGTATTTGGCCTCCACACATCTATTTGTAAGGTACAAATATATAGTGTGTTTGTAGCTCTCCTGTCTTAAGTCATTCAAGCTAGTAGCCATTGTTCAGGATGATTAAGACAGCAGAACCAAGACATTCCTTTCAATTAAAAGGAAATAAAAACCAGAATGCAGGCTGGGCGTGGTGGCTCACACCTGTAATCCCAGCACTTGGAAGACTTGAGGCGGGCAGATGGCTTGAGTCTAGGAGTTCGAGACCAGCCTGGCTAACACGGTGAAACCCCGTCTCTACTAAAAATACAAAAAATTAGCCGGGCGTGGTGGCGGGATTTCACCATGTTGGCCGGGCTGGTCTCAAACTCCTGACCTCAGGTGATCTGCCCACCTAGGCCTCCCAGAGTGCTGGGATTTCAGGTGTGAGCCACAGCACCTGACCAAGTTACACATACATTTTAAGGGGAACACTGCTGGCCTCTTCAAGAGTACTTTCTCCCTCAAAATAAGTAGGTTCTCAGGTCAGCCTCAAAAAGTTGATACCAAATGTCGTCTGTAGTCTTTGGACTTAAAAGACCTGGCATCCAAGAACAGATTTTCAGTTAACCCAGCCTTTGTATCACATGGATTTTCACTATCCACCACTTCCTGTTCTCTCTCGAATCCCAAACTTCTGGTCCTTTATCATAGGACATTGTCACATCCTTCTTAGGCCCTGCCCTGCCTTTTCCCCACATTTTACTTGCTCAGGCCTCTAGCCTAAAATGGTTGAAATAGTTCTGAAATGCTTGGTGGTGATGCATCGCCTGCTACGATCAGCACCATCAGTGTTTGCAAGTACTGGTCTGGTGAGACTAATGTAATAAACTGAATGAAGAAATGTAGTATGAGAAAGAAAGCATCTAATACTATAGCATTCGAAGCTGTACAAATTCTGCAAGATTTAAAAATTATATACCTTAAACAATGTAAGTTAACAGAAAAAAGTCAAATGACAGTTTTAATAGACTTTAAAACAGTGTACAAGTAAAAAAACACTGGTTTTGTATTTCAAAAGTTGAAGGAAGATATCCAGTCATTAAACAGTCTACAAAACATATGCCAGTAGATTACATAAAAGACTATGTACAATATAAAAAGAGCTGAAAACAGTCTTCACTGTAAAAATAATTTAAAACAAACTTTTCAATTTAAAATATTATCTATAGCACAAACACATCATGCAAATGGAAAACTAAATATACTGCATTCTTTAGTGTAGCCAAATAAATTCAGATTCAGACATCTTTTAAGTAGGGAAATGGCCATTCAGATACGATTTTTTTTCTCTGGCAGTAATGGTCCTAGCTGGGTATTTTATGCATAAAGAACAGCTATATTTCAAACCCTTTTTATTGTAATAAATACTAAAGCAACAGAGGAATACTTTATTAATTTGGGAGTAATGTTCAAAAATGGTCTGAAAAATAAATGCTTACGGTGCAATTTCATAAAGTAAGAACTTCTTGAAAGACTAGAAGCTTTTGCAGCTGAGAAAGTTGATCTCTAGTTTTAAGGCAGGCTAAGCTTTTAAATAAAGATAAATTATAAGAACTAGTTTCATTCATTAACTATTCTGCTATTACAAGTTACATCATGTTCATCTCCATAATACTAGGCTAGCAGTTTGGTATTTAACACCAAATCCTCCCAATGGAAGGAGACATGTACTTTCTGGCTGAGTTATAATTAACATCTTATTACTTTGGAACTGTAATCAGGGGCCTGTTGCTCTCCTCATTAATGGAAAACAGCAGTCCAAAATATTACACTCTCCCCAGTAGAAGTACCATTATTATAGATTCGGAAAGGCTTTGCATATTCACATTTTGGCAGTTTAATACTTGTGGAAAAGATCAATGCAAGCTCTACCACAGTGATAGGTATTTAAACAACAATGGCAAATATTTCAAAACTAAGGGGATCCAGGCAGGCACTATTGTTTCTAAAGCAACTGAAACATTTCCAAAGCATTTATTTGTTTTTCAGGTTAGTTTTATGAGCCAATATAGACATTACTACATGTCCACAGGAAGTACAAAAGCCATCTTCATTTGAACATAAATACAATAATCCTGAAATTCTTAGCACCAAGTATTACTTTTAAAAGTAAAGACAACCGAGTGCCCTCCCACCTATTGTCGACTTCCTTCTACTCACATTGCATGTCATTTGAGATTTTAAAAAGTTAGCTGCCACAAGTTTTGGAAAATGCCAGTGTTTAAAAATAAGTAATTGTGTTAAAGAATCAAAAGTTTAGAGTTAACAGATTTTGAGTACTTCAAACCATTCAATGTTACAAAGAAAAGTGAAAATACCATTCTTTGGTCTAGATAAGCTGTTCCCTTTACATTAATTTAACATTCCGATGGCTTTTTGAAAACTTTAAAAATGTTGAAACTCACTAGACAAAAACAAAAATTATATATACATATGAATTTATCATACAAATGAATCTTTAAAAGAAAGTTAGTCTTGACCAACAGCTGATTAAAGATACTTAGTACCTTTTTTTTAAAAAAAAAAAAAAGTTAGTGTTGAATTTGTACAAGTACAGAAATAATGAAGTTAAAAATTATCCATGAAAAACAATCTATTTTACCAATCTATAAATATTACCTTTCTGGTTTCCTTGCTCTATAGAGTTCACAAGTAAACATTCATTTTGACATGCTAAAGTTCCTAATGCTGGTGGAACAATTCCTGTACCTGCACAATTATTACACTATGATTTGTTTGATGGATAGTTCATGTCTGTTACTTCCTGTTTCATAGATATAGCTTCATTAATTGCCTCTTGATCATCTCCATCAGTCCCAAATCCAGCTCCTCCAGCTCTCTCTGGAATATCAGGCTCATCTTCTAAGCCATTGTAGAATTCTTCAATTTCACTTTCATCCTCCATGGGTTCTTCTAAACTTGGACTCTGGCATGTCCCACTATCACTGTTACTGCCACAAGAACTAGAGGATAAGACGTCATCTTCAGAGTCTGAATATACCTCAGCGCCATGGAAAATGTAACGATTTGGTGGCAAAAACAGATACTGATTACCTGAAATATAATGATGAAAACGTTACTTTCAGTTTTCTAAGTCTGAGCAGTCTGGAATGAAGTGTGGGTACCAGCTCTGCCTTTTATAAGTGTCCTTATGAAAGACTACCATTAGTGTTTAAAAACAACTGGGAGGCCATGATGTGCCTGCAGTTCCAGCTACTCAGGAGGATGAGGCAGGTGGACTGCTTGAGCCCAGGAGTTCAAGGGCCAGCCTAGGCAACACAGTGATGGCCTGTCTCTTAAAAATTAATTAAATACAAGCAATACACTTAGTCCTGGGTTCAAATCTTAGTTCTGCCATTTATTATATCTTTGCAAATTTGTAAGTGTACCTCTGTGCCTCAATTTCCTCATCTAGAGAATGAAATAAATTTTCACAACCCTATGAAGGAGGGAAGTGTGAAAAATGTAGAGAACCATATTCAATAAAGGTTATTTCGGCCGGGCACGGTGGCTCAAGCCTGTAATCCCAGCACTTTGGGAGGCCGAGACGGGTGGATCACGAGGTCAGGAGATCAAGACCATCCTGGCTAACACGGTGAAACCCCGTCTCTACTAAGAAATACAAAAAACTAGCAGGGCGAGGTGGCGGGCGCCTGTAGTCCCAGCTACTTGGGAGGCTGAGGCCGGAGAATGGCGTGAACCCGGGAGGCGGAGCTTGCAGTGAGCTGAGATCCTGCCACTGCACTCCAGCCTGGGCTACAGAGTGAGACTCCGTCTCAAAAATAAATAAATAAATAAAAATAAAGGTTATTTCACCAATTATTTTAAAAAGATTTGATGAAAATGAAGTATCCAGCCCAGCCTACATTAGATACCCAATTTGTGTTCATTAAGCAACTTCTCTAAAGCACACAGGCTTTTAAAGCATCTTCATTAACTATTTTCATTTAACTTTTTTCTGATTTTAAACCTAAAATATTGTCAATAATGTAATCACCACAAATTCATAGTGTAGTCTGTAGACACTGAATCTACAGTATCACCTGTGAATCTAAATTTAGATTCA